GAACGTGTTAGAGCCTAAGCACAAAGATGATCGTAATGAGTCGTGAAACGTGAGTCGTAGTCGCAGGTCAATGCACAATTTTTGATTAAAATATAATTAAGACTTACGTTTCACGATTCAGTTACGGTCATCTTTGTGCTTAGACTCTTATAATTATGAGAACATTTAATGACTACTTACGTAAATCCTGTAAAACTTCAAATAGGTTTCTTCTCTTTTATACTCACCATTACTTTGATCTCTCGGCAGTCCCATGGGCAGTCCTAGCGGGAGGAACCGAACGCAGCGTTGGGAATTTTCAATACTGCCAACTTTATTCTTTTTCCCAACTGTTAGAAGTTATTAATTTATTTGTCGCCCAGTATTCAGATTAGATTGTAGCAAATACGACTTTATTAGCTTTTGCTAAATACAAGAGAAAAATTATAATAGATAAATTGTTTAACAGAGTTTAGCTTATCGTTTAGTGTATAAAATTATCAATTATTAAAGACCAATTTAACGAATAGAAAACATATCAGAACAAATAGTTTAGAAACATACAAAGCATTCAAATAAATACTTAATTGTCTTATTATATAGACTTAACTGTATCAGTTTTACATCGTTATTGTAAGGCCTTACAATCGCTCAATAAACTCTCACACATACCCATCCTAGACCATGGTTCCAGAGGAAAAAGCAAAAGAAGGGGCTGAGCAACAACGATGTTCAATTTTAAAAACTGACTATCGTTTGATAGTGCCATCTAGTCAATCATACTAACTCGTGAATCAGCCTGTGGAAATTACAACTTTTCAACACTTCCCCTTAATTTCAGCATGCTAATTCACGATATATTGTTTACAGTTTACAAATTTTGCAGTATTCAAAGCTTTTGTTAATATATCAGCTGTCTGTTCATTTGTAGGACAATAATTCAATTTTATAACTTTATTTTTAACTAAGTCATGCACAAATCTATATTTCACATCAATATGTCTAGATCTTTTATTTACTACCCCATTTTTTATCAATGCAATGGTACTTTGATTGTCAATGTTTAGTTCTACTTCTATTAATTCTTCTTGTAGTTCTTCTAATAGTGTTTTTAAATATTGTAACTCCTTACAACACTCCACTGCTGCGACATATTATGCTTCCGTATTGGATAATACAATATTCGGTTGTCTACGCGAGCACCAGCTTATTACTCCACCTCTATAAAATATTATGTAACCAGTTGTACTTCGTCTTGTTTGAAGATCTCCGGCGAAGTCAACGTCGCAATATCCTTTTAATATATTTCGTTTTTCATTTATGTTGAATTGTATTCCTTGATTTCCTGTTCCACATAAGTATTTCAATATGTGCTTGACATCGTTTATGTTTTCTTGTGGGGGTGATCCCGATTGATCACGGCTCGATTGGACACCACCAATCACAGCGACCGGTGCTTAGGAGCATTGTAGTCTCAAAGCCACGCTGTGAGTGACTCGTATCCAATTGAGCCGTATCCAACTGGGTGCCACCCTTTCTTGTGTATGATTTTCCAAATATCTGCTACTAAAACCGACTGCAAAGGAAATATCTGGTCTTGTTTTAGTCGATAGATACAATAAGCTTCCTACCACTTCTCTGTATTTGTAATCTTCTTTCTTCATTTTTGTAATCTTCTTACTTCTTTCTTCGTTTTTTATTAACGGTATTTTAACAGGTTTCGCTTTGTCCATTTCGTATTGTTTCAAAACTTTCTTCACATATTCTTCTTGTTTTAGCTTTATTGTAATTTTATCTCTTGTTATCTCAAAACCAACAAATATCTCTGGCTTATACATTAATGTCATTTTGAATTCCGATTTTAATTGTTCTATTACTTCTTCCATTTCTAACTTGTTGTTTCCTAGAAGTATACCATCATCTACATAAATTCCTAGTATTAATTCTTTGTTAGCCTTTTTGAAAATACACTGTTCACTCATTAGTGGCTCAAAGTTCTTTTCTTTTAAAAAATTTGTAAATCGTATGTTCCATCTAAGTGGAGCTTGTTTCAAGCCATATAATGCCTTTTTTAATTTGAACACCTTTCCTTTACAGTTGTACCCTTCTGGGGGATACATATAAACTTTTTCTTCGACATCACCATACAGAAATGCTGTCTTTATGTCGAATGTTATTATTATGTAATTTTTAATGACTGCTAAAGCAAATAAAGTTCTTAAGGCACTTGTACTTATCACTGGACTAAATGTTTCTTCATAATTAATCCCATATTCTTGTTCGCAACCTCGTATTACTAGACGTGCTTTATGTCTTCCATCTTGTTTTATCTTAAAGATCCATTTTCCAGTCAAAAGTCTTTCTAGCTTTAAATTCTTCTGATCTATTACTTCCCATGTGTTGTTTTCTTCTAGTGAGTTTTTCTCTTCTTTTATAGCTTCTTTCCATTGTAATCTGTCTGGACCAGTAACTGCTTCTCTATAAGTCAGCATAACAAATTCTTTGAATCGTTCTGGGCATTTCTTCTATCTTATTGATTTTCTTTTTACATTTATTAAGTTGTTATTTTCTTCTTGAGAATCTGACGTATTATCTGCTTGTTGTTCTTGCGCATCTTCCCAATTTTCATTATCGAGTAATTCTTCTTCTACTTCTTCGTCTGATTCTTTTTCCATCTGAATAAACTTTATTTTTTTGTTTTGTGTGCTTATCTTTTCCTTTTCATGTATTTCTTCAAAAACGACATCCCGGGCTATTATGATTTTTCTCTTCTCTTGACTCCACAATCTATAACCGTTGGGTGCATACCCTACAAAGAATAATTTCCTGCTTCTTGCTTCCAGTTTCTTTAGGGGACCCAAATTCTTGGTATGAGCTATATTTCCAAATATCTGCATTAATTCTAAGTTCGGCTTGCGCTTTTCCCACATTTCGAATGGCGTTTTCTCTAAGATGTTACTTGGAAGTCTGTTTAAAATATAAGTCGCACAATACAATGCTTCTACCCACATTTCTTTGTTTAAAATTGAGTCAAATAGAAGTGCTCGAACCTTGTCTAGTAAAGTTCTATTTAATCTTTCAGTTCTTCCATTTAGCTGTGGTGTGTAGGGTGTTGTTGTATCGATTATTATTCCTTTACTTTTACTCCAAGCTTGGATATCTTTATTAATAAACTCTCTTCCATTGTCACACCTTATTTTTGAAACTTTCAAGTTCCAGTATACTTCTACTCGTTTTACAAATTCTTTAAGAATCTCCTGTACTTCCGTTTTGTTATCGAGGAGATAAACAAAAGTATAATGAGTATAGTCATCCTGAAAAGTTATAAAATATCTTTTCCCATTCCATGTACACGGATCTATAGGACCACATAAATCTGTATGTATTATTTGAAGTGGTCTTTCTGCTTTTAGTCTTCCAGTTCCAAATTTTAATCTTGTTTGCTTAGCTTGTTGGCATACTTCACAGACATTTTTAAGCTCTTCTAGATCCTCTGTAGACAATTTAATCGTATCGTTCATACTTATCATTCTTTTCAGTTTGTCAAGACTAGTGTGTCCAAGTTTCCTGTGCCACTGTCTTGCTTTGCTTGAAGAACTATCTGTCAGGAAGGATTCATCTTCATTCTGTGTAGTAAATTTTATCTGATATAAATCACTTGGTAATTTTATTCCTTTTAGTTTAACTTCATTGTCTGTTTTAATTATAATATTACATCTTCTTTTCTAAAAGTTACTTTACCTCCTTTATTAGTGATAGAATTCACTGAAAGAAGATTCGTGCTTAAACGGGGCACATAGAGAACTTTATTAACACTACATTTTTTAAATTCTACTTTTCCAATGCCTTCTGCCTGCATTGTTTCTTCTGTTGTGACTACATATATTACTGTATTTGATTTGACTAAGTTTTTAAAGAATGCTTTATTATTAGACATATTAGAAGTGCTTCCTGAATCTATAATCCAAGAGATTTCATTTGTATTTTTACTTGTTAGTAAAGCAATCTTATTTGAATCTTCAATCTTATTCTGTTTTTTAAATCTAAAATAACAATCCTTTTCCAATGATTATTCTTTTTACAAATATTACACCTTTTTTCATCTACTCTGTCTTCTTCTTTACACATCTTGGCAATATGTCCTAATTTATTACACTTGAAGCATCGTACCTGTTTCTTATCCTTATTCGTTCCCTGACTTTTGCAGTATTTGGATGTGTCCAGTTTTATTACAGATATTGTATTTCTTAAATGTTGTTTTAAAAGCGACAGCTTCTTCTTCTTCCTTTGGATGAAATCTTTGTTCCTCAATAATGAGCCTTACAATCAGATTGTTTAATGTTTTCTTTTCTGTCTCAGTAGATTCCCATGCACTGGCAAAATAGGAGTACTCCTTAGGTAGCGTAGCTAATATTTTACAAATTACCATTTTATCATCAATATTCGTATTAATGGCAATTAATCTGAAAGCTAAATTCTTAACTTTACTTAAATAAGTTGTCATATCTGAATCTCTTGCAAAAGAAATATTATAGAATTCTTGTAATAATTTACACCTTTGTTGCTCAGTATCCCTTTCGTATGTGTTACATATTCTATTCTACATCTCATAAGATGTTTTACATTCTATTATTTGTAGTAATGGTTTTTTATCTATTGTAGAGATTATAATCTTTTGCGCAATCGCATCTTTCCTTTTCCATGCTGTTGTTATTTCACCTTCGTTATGTTCTGTCGCTATGTCTAACACCTTATTTGCTTGAAATAATACTTTTATTTGAAACTTCCATATCTGGAAGTTGTCTACACCTACTAATTTCTCTATATTTTAATAATCTTCTGCTGCCTTGACCATTTTCAGACCCTTTTTTTACTATACTTTTACTCTAAATTTTAGCCTCTATTTTAAGTTCTAGCTTCTTTATTATTTTCTGCTTATCTATTTATCTCATTTATTATATCTTATTTATCTCAACTATTATTTTCTCTCTCTTTACAAGATTAAGGCATTTATCTCTGTTTACTGAGACCAGCGACAGAACAAAACTGTTAGAAACTTTGAAAAAAGCGTATTCACCAAAATGAGCAAGAGTATATTTAATGTTAAGAGAACGAATTTTATTCCTAACACACCGAATACAGAGAGCTTCTGTCGTATATAAACTAAAACGGATGAAGACCGGGAGACAAGTGAGTCGGTAAAAGAAACAAAAAGAAAACGTACGCGATACGGATGTTTCAGCGATCAAGCTTGCAGACGCCATCTAGTGTTCCCGTGTCGCTCATCTTATATTCTCACACTCATACTGCATTACCATTCATTACGAGAGTGCATACATTAACATTCCCTCACTCAATCTCGTAATGATGAAGAGAGAAAAAAAAATTTAATTGTTGAATGGTTGACCGATTTCTCACTCAAACCCATACCATCATTACAAAACTTATTTTTATCACTAGTAACAGCTTTAGTTAACGCATCGGCAATCATTTCTTCAGTACATACATATTTTAGGTCTACAATGTTGTTTTCGACTTTCTCTTTTACAAAATTGTATTTAGTATCGATATGTTTCATCCTGGCATGAAAGTTATTTGAATGTGCTAGTTTAATTGCACTTTGATTGTCTGAATATAACTTTATCGGGGATTCTGTTAACAAAATTCCTATACTAACTAAAAGTCCTTTTAACCATAATAATTCCTGTATTGCCAAAGCTATCGACGTGTATTCTGACTCGGTTGTGGACAATGATACACTTTGTTGCT